AGAGATTGGGGTGTTGGCTGGGGAACCCTCGGCGATCCATTGCCTTCCTCAGGTTCCCTTATTGCGACGCCGATGGTCATCGGCCTCTGCTGAAAGTCATGAGGGCCGATGATGGCCATCCTTCGGCGCCTTTTCAGAAGGGGCTGCTCGTCCATATCTGAATCTGAAGACTCTTGTATTTGATCTTCGGGACGAACAGGAGCTTTGCCTTCTCTGTGTCTGTTACTCTCTTCAGACTGTAACAGACAGGGGGGAAGAAGAGTGTGAGTAAAAAAAAAAAAAAAAAAAAAAAAAAAAGAAAAAAGTTGTCTAAAAACTCACCGAGGTCTTCAGCAAAGCCTCGTCTTCTTCAGCTGCTCTAGCTGCAGCTTCGGCTTCAGCAGCTCTGGAGGACCCTTCTCCTCCTTCACAAGCTTCAATAACCCGTGCAACCTCTTCGGCTGTACGGGCAGCTTCAGCTTCTTCTTCCAGCAGCTGAAACAAGGGATCCCTCTTCTTCCACCAAGGCTTCTGCCTCTGATACAGAGCAACAGCCTCAATTTGGAAGTGGGAAGAGTCTAGGTGAACCTCTCGGCGCCTTGGTTCAGTGATAGGGGGAGCCCGATCAGTTACGACTCGTTCTCGGTTGACGCCAAGGCGAGCGTAATCAATGCCGATGTTGGTCTCGTCCCGTTCTGAAAAAGAAAAGGGGAGAAGTCAATTCAGTTAGTTCGGCACATCACAAGAAAGCAAAATGAAAGAAGAAAAGAGATAATTAAAAGGCCTCGGCCCCAGCCGAAGAAGATTACCATCCCTAAACTTTCGGCTGAGGCCGACAGCTGCCAGCATATTCTCTTGGAAAACATAGTGCGTATCGGGGAGCCAAGTCTCCGGGATATGCTGCATTCGGCCGCTGCCTCCCCGGTTCGGCAGCTTGCCGAAGATGTTCTGCTGATTAAGGTTCGGGTCTGGCCCGCTATCTTCGGGAGGACCTAAACTTCCCATATCAGGGTCCGGCTCGGCAAGATACCGGGGAGCGCTGAAAACATAAGGATGGCTCGGCTCCGTGGGCGCCCTAACCCAAATCCATTGACCTCTCCAGTCCTTGTCTGAAGAGTCGTTCGGCCACATGGTTAGGAACGGGGGCCGAGACTCAATCCGATACCACCCAGAACCATGGCTTCCGTGCCCACTCTGAATATTTGGCACTAGCCGATGGAGCTTTCTGAAGCAGTGCAGGTTCGGCACGTATCTGAAGAATTTGCAGACCCATAAGTACGTCATTACCCTTCGGATGCTGGTGGGGGTCAGCTGGCACAGGGAAATGTTGTAATGGATCAGCAAGTCTCGAACGAATACGTCCAAAGGGAACCTCAGCCCATACTGAAGCTGTCTCGTGTACACCCCCACATACCCCGGGGGTGGACGATGGATTCTATCGGATGCTGAGGGCATTCGGCACCAATATCCATCAGCTTCAAAAATGCCGTAGTGCAACTCAATTTGCTCAGCAAATCGATATTGATCGGCGTTCTCTACCCACCATGAGTAGGGACGGTTCTTTATCATGGCCGAAGCTACTTCGGCATCCTCCCACTCTGAAAACCCTGGGAGGATATCCCAAAGGACAGCGGGAACTTCATCATCCCGTCCTGAAGCTCTCACCCCCTCAGCCCTCTGAGGAGGAGCCGAAGAAATGGGAGTCGCCCTAACCCCTTCAGCAGGGTCAGACTCTGTCCTTCGTCCATTCCAGGTCCCAATCCTGACCCTGGGATCGGGGATTAGCCTTGCTCTTCTTGGAGCACGGGCTCCACCTCTAACTCCCCTCACCATTGACGAATTTCGAAGGAAAAAGTCGAAAAAGGGGAAAGAGTGCAAAGTCGAAGAAAGATGAAATAAAATCAAAGGAATTTACCTTGATCTGAAGCAAAAGCCGCCGATTTACGAATTGGTAGTGACAAGTCTCAGCTTCTAAGCTTAATGCTCGGGGAATTTGCGAAGTTTTGATGCGGGCTCTTGAGCGTTCTTGAGAATTCTGGGTTTGTGTTGATGAGTGAGTGGGGAGAGAAGACGCGCCTCTATTTATATCTCCAGAAATGGGAATTCAAGGAGTCTGCGTTTCAATTTCTCTCAAGCACCCCACTAAGTAACCGTTAAACACACGACCTTGCAGTTAAGTCGCCCACTACCCATCCAACTTCCGCAATCATCCACATTAACTGTTGTTATCTCATTAATCATGGGTTAATTACGGTTTAAATTCACATTTTTGGATTAACAAATCATTCACTTCCCTCCTTTTCTGATTAAATCAAACCCGACCCGTCATCCTTCCAAATCGGGTCTGGGGGGCAAGTTGTTTGGGTCCAATTTAGTCCAATTGGGCCTGGTCACTGAATGATCCAATTAAAAGCCCAAGGTTAAGGTTCAACCCTCCAAATGTGCTAAAGTCAAAAATCAACATCCTCAAAGCCATGTCAAGGTCAGTCAACGGCCCAATCAGCTTGGCCCAGCCCAACTGACTTCCGGGCCCAATCCGCCTCCTTCATTAGCCAAGGTATAAAAGCCAACAATTTGGTCAATTCTTGGTAAGACAATAAAGCCTCAAGCAACTAAACTCTTGCACAGCTTTCTCTCTCTAATATACTGACTTAAGCATCGGAGGGGCCTTCCTCGGCGTCCCCCCCGAGGCTAGTTTACGTGTATTTGTTGTGCAGGAAACCCTCGGCTCCTGCGTCGTTCGGACCGAGACCAAGTTCCCTCAAGATAAAAGGATCTTCCGAGATTCGATTGTTTTCATCCGAAACAAGTGTATATCTGAAATTATTCGCATTTCAGTTGATTGGTACTCACTGCTGTCTCATAAGGAAATTTGTACTACAGAGATGCCACAATGGAAAACAGGACAGGCAGCCAAATACAATTCAGTATAACGATTGATCTTTCACGCCACGACTTCATTTCAAATAAGCTTGTTCAGTTGTTCTATTATGTTGCATAGCTAGTAGCTACATTTACATTTATTTGACTATTAAGAGGTAGCTTATTCTCAGCACGAACCAACTTATGTGTTGTAAAGTTTGAGGATTGAATGATTGATAGTATAATACAATGATCGGATAATTCTTCTAGGCACGTCCCTTCAGCGACATCTGATTATTCTTCTAAGCACGATACACACACTTTCCAAAAGGTAGTATAATTGGTTTTAACAATACTACAATAAAAAACACAAGAATTTTGCACATAAAGTTACCTGGAGACAAGGTTTGATACTTAAGAAACGAGTAAACCTTCGGCCGCCCCTTTTTCTCTCTTCTTTCTCCTCTTTCTTTTAGGGTTTTAATTTTCTTAGGCCGGAAATAGTTTAATTTCTTCGGAAATTAGACTATTTTCGACCCTTTTTCTTTAATTCAATTTAGTTTTTTGTTTTGTTTTACGTTTTGGTTTATTTGTTTTGTTTTGTTCTCTCCATCTGTGAGAGTCTGTCCCAATTTTCTGGGTTTTTCTCAATTTTCTGGGATTTTGATTCTCATCTATGGATGAGAATTTTATTTTTAAGGTTCTTATAATAATTGGGAAGGTGATTTGGATTCCTATGGGTCTGGGATTTTTCATCAACCGGTCGATCAAAACATTAGCGCAGATTGCGGAGGTCTCAACTTGGAAAGATGCATAGACATCGAAAATCATTGCTCGCGTCAAGCTTGAAGCGGTGGAGTATGAGCTACGCCAAATATGCAAATTAGTTATGATTTTGATTGTAAAAGTTATGATATTTTCTCTAAATCTGTGGTTTACAGAACCTTATTATTGTAGATGCCGTATGACTTTTATTTAATGATATTATTCTTCCCGTTCAAAAAAAAAAAAAAAAAGTTACCTGGAGACTGCAAAGACAAATTGACCAGCTCATATTGGCATTTTATCAAACACCTAGTGTGCATCTGGTAATTTTGGGTGATGACTTCTTGAATTGGTAAGAATTTCCAGGAGGATTGCTTGGCACAGGTGAATTTCAATCTTCAGTGTTATCAATCGCTAATTTGTGGGTTTTAAAATTTTAGATGTGTAAATGTATGTACAATTGTACCTACAGAATAAAATTGTGGACAAAGTTCTCAAAATATGCACAGAACTACAAAAACTAGGATATAAATTTGATGGAAGAGAAAAAGAAATCAATAATAAACCACTGGATTCAAAATAAGGATATTAATTTTTCAGGTCCTTGTTCATCATCAAGTGCATGATGTTCTAGGGCAACGCAAGGATGACTAATTTAGCAATAGTCAAACTATACATTAAAAAAAAACTACTTTTTCTATTGGTACCATTTTTTTAACCACCTTTCAATTTTTATTTTTTTTTAAAACCATTAACCACCTTTCAATCGATTTAAGCATGTAACAATAATCCGTTACTTTTTTATTACGCGAACAATAACCCGTTATTTTATCTATAGATCATACTTGACTACTCGATACTCTAATAAAATAATTTTTAAATTGAGGTTGAGGCACCTTAGCCCCTTAACTAAGAGTTAGGTATGGCATTTTAGTTTGAGACGTTGAACTAATTTATTAACTTTAAATAGGATCAGAAAAAGGCTAATCAAGTTTGATTTTGATTTATTAATTATATGAAAACATACTTGCACTTAATGAGTTAGGTTATATGAATGAGACGGGTTCACACAAAGTTAATTTATTTAGAAGATTTAACTTGTTTTACCATTCACTAGCTTAACCAAGTTTGATATTAATTTATTAATTTTATGATAAAAACATAATGGGTTGAGTTATCTAAGTGGGGTGGTCACACCGAGCCAATTTATTTGAGAACTCGACTCGATTACACCATTCACTAGCTTGATCAATCCTAGGCTAGGCTAACCCAACCCATTGACCACTTTTTAGGCTTTAGCAAGACTTATGGTCTTATTGATATACACACATGTAACAACTTGATTCTTATTATTCTCTCTTTATCAAATTAGTAAAAGTCTATATTTCAAAAAAAGTAGTAAAAGTCTAGGAGAGAATAAACACAAAGCATCCCACACAAAACGAAGCGCATGTTAAGACGGGCCATCTAGGAAGGTGCCATGCCATAGAATTGCACAAATAAAACTCACTTCCGAGTCTCTGGGTCAAAATTTACAATTTCTTCACGTCTTTACTATTTTTTGTTACTCCACTTCTCCAACCTTTTCTTTTTCATAAACTTCTACAAGTATATACAGTAGTAAATTTTCAGAAATATTTTTCAATTCAATTTCTCGTTTGTTTGAACTTTGTAAAATCTTTGACATTTAAAATTTTCAATCTTGAAGGAATTGAAAATGGCTCTGTTTGTTGGGTCAGTGTTCTTGTTTGCTTCTTTGCTGTTTCTGAGTAGAGACATTCTTGCTATTTCTGGAGATTGTGATCCTATTTACAAGTATGTAAGTTGTTATAATTTAATCTTTTTTATAATTGGTTATGATCCTATATAACTTAATAGTTGTTTATTGGAGTTTGATCTTATTATTTTGTGGGTTGTTTTAATTTTGTCAATTATGGTGGGATTTGATTGGATTGGATTAGATTGTTTTTATTTGGTTGGTGTTTGCATGTTTCTTGTTTGGTTGGTTCCCATTAAACTAAATTAATAGATAATTAATAAAATATATTTGAAAGAACAAAATGAAGGAGTTTAAAAAACTACAAGTATTTAATTATTTTGAATTAAAAAGTTTGAATCATAAATAAAAAAATTATTGTTGTGAAATTTGGTAGGTATGGTCCACTTTGAAGAAGGAATGTGACCATGTAACACTAAAACAGGACTAGTCAATAGATTGTGCTTTGAGAAAAAAAACAAATTTTCATTTAAATCTGGTTCATTTAATGATGTTCAATTCTTCGTGTGTTGAAGGTGATTGTGATGAGCTATTGAAATTTAGTTTGGATCAGTGTTTGATGTGCACTATCTTTTTCAATTCATTAACTCTTAGTTCCTTTTCATTTTTTTTTTTTTTTTCATTTATTGTTTGGGTTGTTTGATTTATAATTTGGTTCTTGGCATTGTGTTTAATGTATTAAATTGTTAATTCACTTAATTGTAAAGGATATCCACGGAAATAATTTATTTCTGTGCATTGTTTTTGGAATTTGGTAAGTTTCCCTTAAGGTAGTTCACTATGATTTGCTTTTTGATTTGTGCTTAAAGATAATAACTAGTGACCTACACTAATTTTGTTTGTTTTTTGAATTGAGTGATTGGTTAGCTGATACTTAGGCCCTGTTTGGTTTGATGTAAAAGGTTTTCATGGAAAATGAATTTTCCATTTTTTCCCATTTTCCTTTGTTTGGTTTGTTAAGGAGTAGAAAACAATTTTTCAAGGGTGGAAAATTTCAACCTTAATGATGGAAAACATTTTCCTTCCAAAAACAAGGGAAGTCACATTTTCCTCTCTCCTCCTTACCTCTTTTTTTACTTCCCTCTCATTCATCCTTACATTTCCACTTTTATTTTTTATTTTTCTTGGACTTTTCTTGTATGCAATCAAACAAAGGAAAACTAATTTGCAATTGTGTTTTTCTTTGAAAATATGTTTTCCATGAAAACTAATTTTTCATTGAAAATGTTTTACATTAAACCAAACGGGGCCTTAATGCAACTTCTGTATGATCCGAAATGCTTCTGGCTCTCTATGGCGTTGGAGTATGTGTGTCAAATCAGTTAAAGATTAACCAATTTAGACATTATAGTTGTATATATACTAGGCTGATGTAACAAATTTAGCAATTTGTGGAATGGTTCAGGCAAAAATTGAGCTTATTAAGCAGGTATTTTAAAATGTGTTGGGAGATGATGCCGTAAGTAACACTATTACAGGAAGACGGGAGCAATACTTGCTTAGATTTATACATTGGCTTGTTTAGACTTTTGTGACATAATTAGTCTTCTCATACTCTTCATGTCTTCCCTTTGCTCTCTTATATGGAAATATGTAACTGTTTTGCTTCCCTGACAGAATTTGTGTAGAACAATGTCAGAAGTCTGGATGCATTCAGAATAAATGCTTCAACAACTGTGGAGTCTCCCCGGACAATAAACCTGCTAAAGGCCCATGGTATCTCCAAGAACCACTTTATCTCCGGTGGAAAGAGTGGGACTGTCGCAGTGATTGCAGGTACCATTGTATGCTTTCAAGGGAGGAAGAGAGAGCAAAACTTGGAGACAAACCCATCAAATATCATAATAAGTGGCCATTTCACCGTGTTTTTGGCATTCAGGTTCTTCCTTCTCTAACTGTATCATTTAGTAATTTTCTTTTAAAATGAAAAATGTTACATAGATGTGTTAGTATCCCATGTGGCTACGGTTGCATGTTTTTGTAGTGGTTTGGATGGCTGTGGACTGTGGTGGTAATATAACTTGTGGTACGTAAATACATATATTTGTTGGGTTGTGACACTGGTTGAGATGTGCATAATTTGGTACCTTCTGGGGCTTGGCTCTTCATTGTTCCTGCCTAACTTATGCTATGAAAGGAAGGGTGTATAAACTCAAATCCTACTGTTAGTTCAATTATTAATAAATGTAATGTGTGAGTGCAGGAACCTGTTTCTGTCGCTCTCTCGCTGCTTAATCTTGGCCTAATATTTCATGGGTGGGTGTCATTCTTTATCCTTCTATACTACAAGTTGCCTTTGAAGCCAAATGGGAAGTGTTATTACGAATACACTGGTTTATGGCTTGTGTATGCGATCTTATCCATGAACTCCTGGTTTTGGAGTGCTGTTTTCCATGGCAGGTACAGTGATTTGATTTCTACTACTTCCATTCATAATCTATTTCTGTCATTGTTTTATTATTGAAGCTTCTGATATCTGCAGATACGTGGAATTAACAGAGAACTTGTACTATTCTTCAAGAGTGGCACTTCTTGGGTTTTCACTCATTATATCCATAATTCGATCTCTAGATGTTACAGTTGAGGCTGCCAGAGTGATGGTTGCTGCTCCACTTATTGCATTTGTGACTACTCACATACTCTTTATCAACCTGGTAGAACTTGATTATGGTGAGTCTAAACAACACATATCTGTGAGTCTAAGCTACATTGTGGTTTTTCTTTTACACCTTGAAATTATATGGAATATTGTTCTGGAAAATAGAAGATCCTGAGAGGGTCAGTAATTAACCATTGCATCATAATATTGTTCTTGGTTATCTAATATGACAATTTCACAACTCCGTATTTGTGTACATCTTTAAAGTAAATTTAAAACGTTGCAGGCCTAAACATGGTGGTCAGTGGCGGTTCTGGGCCGGAGCAAGGTGGTCGACGGATAAGTTTGGCATAATATCTTAAAATTGTAGTTGGTGTAGTGGTTAGAGCAATTGTCTTGTGTATCCAAGGTCTTGGGTTCAAGACATGCATCAATCAATTATCTAAATTTTTGGGTAGCTGACAGCTGGCTTGATACATTGAATGTAGACATGTATTCAATAGTCTCAGAAACTCCGCCCAAAAAAATCTGATTTCCTTTTTCGGTTTTTCCCCAAAAATTTTCAATCTATTATTTCAATTCCAAAAAAAACTCTACATCTTCTAAACTTTATATTTTTCATTTACTTTCTTTTTTTATCTTCTTCATAATCTACAAATATTCAATTAATTTTCAAAATTTTCATCTCCCAAAATTAATTTTCCCAATATTAGTTCATATTTCAACGGTTAAATCTTCAATTTGAAGATGAAATTAATTATTAAACCGTTGTTAATCTCCCCATTTTTCCTATATATAAATTTTATTTACTCTTTCAAATTTAAGGTCCCATTTTAAAAAGTTGAACAAGACCCCATAAATAATTTGCAATTTTAGCCCCGGCACTGATGGTGGTGATGGTTGTAATAGCTACAGCCCAGCTCCTTTTCTGGGCAATCTGTGCCATTCGTTCCCATCAGCCATCACGCTGGAAGCTGTTGGTCGTGGTTGTCGGGGGAGGCGTTTCGTTACTTCTGGAGATAATCGACTTTTCTCCATACAAGGGGTTTATCGATGCACATGCCTTCTGGAAAGCCATTTCTGTACCCCTCACTTACATCTTGTGGAGCTTCGTCTGTGATGATGCTGAGTTCACTACATCTACTCTGATCAAGAAAGCAAAATAGCATCACCTAGCCAAATATCACAGTATGTTTTCGCGGCAAAAATCCTTGTACATTTCATTCGTTCTTTGTTCATTCTTTTGACATTACTCCAGATTTTATACTCAAGGGTAATACTGAAATACTACTGTCAAACTGAACTGCTCGCTGCTGGCTTGCTGGCTATAAAAGCTAAATTAGCATAGCCTTCCACTTCAGGCACTACATTTTGTGGATTTTGATTTTTGACCGAAGTTTGTCATGTTAGCAATTTTGATTGTACATTTCATTTTAGATCTTTTAAAACTATTGTTTGGATGTCAGTCACAAAAGATCAGTATGCAGAGGTTGTAGCAGAGTAAATCAGGACAATATTGAACTCATTAATAACTCAATTAGCAGTGTCAGCTGCTTGTAATAGAGTAAGCAGTTTAAGAAAATAGTATGATACACCGCCAATGGTGGCGTATTGCAACTTCTCATCTCCTTCAACTAGAAAATCACCATCCTTAGCTCGAGTAAATCCTCCAGCCAACCATCCCAAGTTCTTGTATCCCACTTCATGCAGCTTTGAAACCGCCACTATAGACCTGTTAGTTCCACATTGTTGCAGTGAAACAAATTAGGCACACGTACTATTCAGGCTAATTACCAAACAGACAACTAATAGAGGCAAACACTGCTTCATAAAAACAACAATATGATCAAAGATTTAAACTCTTTACCTTAGCCCCTCACCACAGGCAACAAGGAGCATGGCATCCTTGTCAGGAACAATCCGTTGAACCTGTGACACAAACTCCGAATTGATGGTAGTGAACTTCTGGCCAGTCCATAAGCCAATGTACCCCAAATGAACCCATTTCTTGAGTAAGGTAATAAGGGAGTTGTCCGTGTCCTTGATAAAGAGCGGAACATGCAGTGAACCAGACACTCGCGCTTTCTCTCTTTCCCACTCAGGCCTCACATCCAAAAGCTTCAACCCATCAGATTTCAAGGCAATGGCAGCTTCTTTCGGAGGGATCGCTCTAACGATCCCTGACTCTATCAGTTGCTTTCCGGATTTTCCACCTCCTATGGATGCATTTATTCGTAAACTGAAGCTGTTAGTGTGTTTTTTGTCAAGTTTCAGGGCTAATGACTGGAAATTCAAGTTTAATGTTGCCATTTTCTAAAACTTAAGCTCTATCCTACTCTCCTTATCTGAAACTAATTCTAAGGTCAGTTTTGTACTACATTATTTGATGTTATGGGACCATGCATGGTCCATGATCAACTTAAAACGACATAGCTTTCCTATTTTCACCCTTATATCTTACATAATAATTGATCCTTGACGAATTAAGGAGTACTGCAATAGATTTTACCCAAATAGAAGAATCAATTGTGTAAAAGAGCAGTGAGTAAAAGAACATCAACTATATTATAGGTGTTTCACTCGTGAGAAAATGGGCCCACCATTTACAATGACAAGAATTGAAGGGCCAAAACCAATGAAGAGGACACCAACAATAACAACAACCTGCCAATTATTTACCACAACTAATCAATTCATGGCATTCATAGGTTGGCCTTTTTAGTTCTACTTAATTCATTTACTCTAATAATAGCAATTTTGTAAATGATTATGTAACTTTGGTAATTATGTAATCAACACTAAAGTAGGAATTTATTACCAAGGGAACCCAAAATCAAAATTATGAATTCATGTTTTCTTGTTGTGTTGTGGTAGGATACTAGGATTTACTTACCTCCATCTCTATTACCATAAAAGAATGTCATATGTTTGACTTTTTATGTTTCAATTAGAGAATCATACACGCAAAAAAACACTAGTCATTCCTTAACTATTGCAATTTTGACACTTTTGATCATGTTCATATATTCTCGTTTACCATATATTGTGATTTGTACATTCAAAAAATATTGTCGTGTGTTGTCTTACTAAATTCATCTTGATATATATTTCAATTTTTGTATAACATCAATTTTATTTTTTTTTAAAGTAAAGATATTTAAGATTTATAAAGTGTTTTGGCCTAAGAAGCTTAATCCGAATAATATGTCTATATAGTTCCGAGAACGAGTTCCATTTAATTTGTTAATATCAAATTCTTACCAATATTGGCAATATATGAGTATATATTAATATAGCTATAGAACCTATGGTTTGTCATCAGAACTCATCACGTCTAATTATAGATTATTTATGAATTTAAGGATGCAATTTGTACTTATTATATATCTTCGGCAATTTCTACTGTTAAATCGGTTGAAATATTTGAATCGTTCCTTTCATATATACTTCTATATTCAACAAGAACTAAACCTTTGAAATTCTAGAAGAATAAGAATCATTCTTGCAAGTGATTAGATTCAGTCACTATATTCTGCCTAATTAAATAAATTGGTTTATTGGTGTACAAGTATGTTCCAACATCTTCTATTGATCTTAAACATTAGTCTTTATATACATACGTACTCCTATTGATCACATATGAACTCCTTAAAACTCATTTTATAAGTCAAAACACTCAAATTGATAATTCTTCAATGCGAACAAATAAACCAAATAGTTTCTATACAAGTTCAATTTAACTCCAATAAGTTCAGTTCTTATCTTAATTTTATTCTCTCATAAAATATTCAGTTTAGTCAATCAGAACAGACCCGAAGTAGTACACTATTAGCTTAGTATATTGAACATAAGTCAAAACAACGCTAGTATGTTTTATGCATTGTTTGGTTAAATTTCCATCTCATTAAAGATCAGCACTCTCTATTATACTTCTTAACACTCACTTTCCTTCTTAATTTCACTGTTTATCTTCAGTAATTATGTCAATAAAACAGTATTTTGCTAATCTTAAAATGGTGTGTTATTGCAGTTTAAGTATGGAGTACTACAAGAATCTCAATCATGCTTAGATTAATCGCTCCAAATTATAAATACTACCTCAAATATTATATGCAACTTTTACATTTTTTATATTTTATAAATAAACCCTAAAGTTACACATTTAACGAAGATAGGTTAAAGTATTAATCAGATACAAACAAATTACTACTTAGAAAAAGAAAAACACGAAGTGTTTCCATGAAATCCATCAGTAAAGTCACCTCTTTTAATGGCAACTTACTATTTTTAACTGCAAAGTAGGCAAGTAGCAGTAAAATTCGTCCTGTTGTCGTGGCCAGCGCAGGAATATAAAATTACTACTTCCACGAATTCAGCATAATTTAATGATATAAAAAGTGCAAATAATTAAGCGTTGTTTAATTATAAACAAATTGACAATGTGTAATTAATAAATAATGATGGTGGAAGTAGTTTATTACAGAAGATTCCAAATACTATTGACATTGTCCCCGTACCGTGCTGAAAACGTTGAGAGAGTAGTAGGGAGTTAGTAAATAATAAATGTTACATTTGACACTTGCATTCTACTCCCATATTTCTAAGTGATAAATGTTCGTTGTATCAAGTATCAACCTTCGTTTAGCCCAATACCCCGTAGTTCATAAGGTAATGACCTAATGGGTGATTATGAAATTAGTACTCCCTCGGAATTTCTCCAAATTTTCTCAAAAAGCGTGGATAATGCCTTTACTTTTGGAAATTTTTGACTTTTTTTCACTTGGAAATAAAAATTTCCTAAATATTTACCATGTTCTCTAATAACCCCCGTGAGTCCAATTAGCTGGGTGGAACCATCAAATTAGCCTTTCAACGGCCAATTTACCGGTTAACAACTTGCACCGATTTCATTAACTCAAGCCTACCACAAACATTTATGACAACATATAATGATCATATATGGTTCCAGACGGCATTATATGACCCTGAGATGTATCCCCTCAAATCTAAATGCTTTTCAACACCGGGTTCCGAAACATTCAAAATTTCTCAAAAAGCGAGGATATTAAGCCTTAAATTTTGAAAATTTTGACTTTTTTCGCTCGAAAATAAAAATTGCCGAAATGTTTACCATGTTCCCTAATACCGTCAGGGAGTTCCACTGGGTAGGTGGCCTGGAACCATCCCATTATCAATTTACCGGTTTACAACTTGTACCGATTTTACTAATTCAACCCTACCACGAACATTTATGACAACAAAATAATGATCATATAAGGTTCCGAATGGCATTGTATGACCCCGAGATGTATCCTCTAGAATTTCAAGACTTTTCGACATTGGGCCCTGAAACCTTTGAAATTTCTCATCAAAAGGCGTGGATATTAGCCTTCAATTTTGGAATTTTAATTTTGAATTTTTTTCGCCCGGAAATAAAAATTGTCGAAATTTTTACCATAGTCCCTAATACCCTGCGGGAATGATATGTCTATTTTATATAGTGTTTTACCCCCGTCCCGTGGTCATTATTAGTAGTGTTTTTGGCTCTTTCGGGCCACTTTTATTGCTAATTTGTGTGCTTTAGTGTTTTCGTAGTTTCAGTTGTGTTTTACAGGAAATTGCACTCTTGGAGCATTTTCCCGGGCCTTATTGGATCGACTACGGAAGCTAGAAGGACACGACCACTTTTGGAGCCCAAGATCGGTGAGAGCCGGTGACCAAGGGCTCGGTAATTTGGATCACGAGGCATTTGGACCATGTATTCGAGACCCGAGAGGAAATATGGATTGGGCCGAGAAATCTAGCCCAATCGAAGTCCAAGCCTCGAAGATGAAGACTGGGCCCGATCGGGCAAGCATACGCCCGATCGGGCGGCTGCGTGTGTTAGTGCCATCAAGGAAAGGCGCGCCCGATCGGGTGAGCGTAGGCTCGATCGGGCGCGGCATATCAGAAGGAGCATAGTAAAAAATGGCGGGCCCGATCGGGCGCCCCTTCGCCCGATCGGGCGCGTGTTTTTCCTAGAGTTTGATTAAGTTTAGTTTAATTCGTGTTTTAGGAAAGGTTTATATACGTTTTTGTACGGAAGTAGGACGGATCATCCTCTTCTCTCTTAGACTTTCTCTCTCTACTTAGTTTTCTCTCTCTTAAACTCTCTCCAAACCTTTGTTCTTAATTCTTTCATTAATTCCAGATTATTTTGGTAACGATTTCTCTTCCTTTAATCTTATTTATTTTTATTCCTTCCATCATGATTTATTTTATTACTTTGATTAGTTTAGTTTTTATTATGTGTGAGTAGTTTAATTTCTAGGGTTTATGGGGATCTAATAAATAATATGAAGGGGTAAATTATTGTTGTTGATTATCAATACTAGATTAATTTCCTATTGATTGATTTAATGCTCTGTGACTAGATTAGGCCTATCTTTTATGCATGAGTTTGACAATATTGATTCAAGAATCGTGAGATGAGAATTAATGTTTAGGTCTAGTTTCAATAGGCAAGTTAATTTATAAATGGTTAAGTCAAGATTCGAGAGATGAGATTTAATACCGATAAATTAATTGTGTGATTGTAATAAGTAGCGAGAGCCCTTTACAATCTGGTTAATTGATGCGTTGATGATTGACTATTATTGATTGTTGGTATTGCATGATAATTTCTTATTGGATTGTTTTAATGTTTTACAATTGCGGCTTGTAAAAGTATAGCAATATTAAATTGATGAATCGAGCAGATGTTAATTTGATATTAAAGGCTATTTTCAATAAGAACTTAGATCTGGTAAATTGCGAGAGCCTGTTAGATCTCTGTTGATTAATAAATTGCGAGAGCCTGTTAATCATGTTATTTATGCAATGTCAATGATTGATTACTATGTTTTACCCTGGAATATTATTTATTGGTGAACCTATGCTCTAGATCCCTTTATATATTGTTCTCTTCTTACTCTTATCCTTAGTAGTTTAGTTTCTTGCTTAATTATAAATATTGGTTACTTAAATAATTTAGATTATATTAATTAATTAGGAGTAAAAAGACTAGTTTCCCTGTGGAGATCGACCCTACTTCCCTATCTACTTTAGCTAGAGGACTTAGGAATTATTTTTGATTAGGGGATACGACTTTACCCTGTCAGGGAGTCCAATTAGATGGGTGGAACCATCCAATTTGTCTTTAAACAATCAATTTACCGATTTATAACTTGCACCGATTTCAATAACTCAAGCCTATCACGAATATTTATGACAATAAATAATGATCATATATGGTTCCAAACGACATAATATGAACCTGAGATGTGTTCCCTAGAATTTCAAGACTTTAAGACAACGGGTCCTGAAGACTTCAAAATTTCTCAAAAAGCGTGGATATTAGCCTTCACTTTTTGAATTTTTTTACTTTTTTTCGCCCGAAAATAAAAATTGTCGAAATTTTTACC